CGAAAGGAGCGGTTACAGAAAAGATAAAGGTAAATGGATTTAGAGAGCAATCCGGGGTGCCATTCCCGGCCAAATGCCTGTGCTGTACAGAAAATGCACCCGAACAGTATTCCTTGTTTTCTAGGCTGAAGAAAAATGATCAAAAACTCGGAATCGTTGTTGAACAGTTGAATGTTGGGAGCGAAAACGAAACTGATGGGAAGGAAGATTTTGGGATTCTATAAGAGGTAGGATTTGTTTTAAAAGGATTTTTTCAAAGATTTTTGAAAGAATTGGGAGTAGGATAATAGGTCTATAGGATGTCAAGCTGTCAGGAGGTTTGCCTGGTTTTATTTTTTTTTATGTTAATTGTTTGTGCTTTTTTATTGATTAGTTTGCAAATATTAATAAATTAATACGTATTTTTACAATGTGCTATTAAAACTATTTAAAGGTCAATATCTTTCAAATCAATGATAATTAATCAACTCTTCTTATTAATGATGAAAATATTGTGACCCGATGAACCAATATATTTTTTCGACGTATTGAATTATTATTCCTAAATTTTTAAATAATATTGGTACCAGATATAGGACATCCAACAAGTAGAGGAAAAATTTTACAGGAGTAATAGCAGACGTCTAAGTTCATATAAACAATGGGCCAATTTCAAGCAGAAAAATAGGAAATCCAAGTTTGGTGTTTTCACAGTAAGTCGCGTTTTTTGTTGATTGGAAAGCGATTTAAGCAATTAACAATTGCTTCGGTGTAAATCAAACAAAATTCACTTCAAAAGAAAATACAGTTTGTCATTGTTAAAACCATTTGAGCGGTTAAACTAAGCTGGCTGTTCCCTTAAAAAAAAAGATAATAAATAAATAAAACTTGTTTTTCTCAGAAAAATTTACTGTAATAAATTATTGATAAGATTTAATTTCTTTTAATGACCTGGGGTGTACTATGATAAAAATAAATTAATAACTACAATTTTTATTTATTTAAAAAAATAAATTAAAAACAATGGTTTTTGGAATATTTATCATCTAATGTGATAATTAAACTGTGTCTTATACCAAGATCTTTATTATAGAAGTCTATTCATATTTATGAGTGACCAGATAAATGTTATCTATCATAATATTTACGTTTAAGTTAAAGAGATCTGCTGAGTGCTACAATTATTTTCACGAAAATGTAAATATTAGGATAAAGAATATTTAGTTCGTCTCTGTTTCGATTTTTTATTCCGTTAAAGTGCCCGTTTCTTTTAACAAAAGTGACTACATTAATTGTTGCAAAGCTTTTATTTCTTGTTTTTCCATAATCTTGGACGTATTGTAATAAACACCACTGCATTATAAACTTTAATTAATATAATTTAAAAAATGATTTTTCAATTTTTTTTAGGTAAAATGATAATGAAACAACGAGGAACTCTATTTATATATATATCCTTATGGTACTTTCTCTTTTAGACAGCCAAGCAAATCCGACTATTTAACAGCATGAAGTTAATACTATCTAAAATTAATTTATAATTGTATATAGAGTGTGAATCTCTGAACACTATTATAAATGTCCTTTGAGACAGATTCTAATATTTTCAAAAAAGAATAAATAAATAAATAATTTATTTATTATATTAATGGCTTACTCATAAAACGGCCTATATTATGAGGACTCGACAACTATTTCAGAAACGTGCATTACCAAATACGTTTTCATATGATACCTACTTCCTCCAAGAGAACTGCAATTTAAATGGGACACGAATAGATGAATTAAATAAAGCGTATAGTAGTTATAGAACTTCTGATAATTGTAAATAATAATGCATATTGTAATAAATAATACATATGATATATGCTACACATAAGAATATCTGTACATAATCTCTTTTAAGGGTTATCGACAAAATATCAAAAACTTCAATTTCAAATAATAACAATAATCATTCTCTGTTTTATGTGTTTAGGTCAATAATTCCCATTGATTGTGAACATCATTTCCATAGGATCAATTAACCTTCAAAAGAACCGATTAGCTCAACAAGTATAGTAGTATGTTTCTATACTCATTGACCCAGGTTCGAGTCAGGCTATGGCAAGTAATTTTGATCTTTCTAATTTTGCTATTCTGTTATTTCTTGGATCGATTCTAGAGGAGTCTTCGGTGGCACTTCTATATAGTGGGAACCCTCAATATGTAATTAATTAATTAAAAAGAAAAAAAAAATTTTAATAAATACCTTCCATATTAGTTAAATATTTTTAATAAAAAAAATTAAAAACAGAGCAGAATAATTTTTTTCGGTATATGATTAAAACTTATTAATATAACTTCTTGAATTAAAAATAAAATTAGATTCCCAAATACTTGATTAGCTCTCTGAACATAACGCTAGGAAGTTGAGACATACCGCCATTAATGTAGTCATACCGACATAACTAGTTCTGTCCTAAATCCGGTCATGGAACTAATGGTTGAATAATACACTATTCTCTTTCTTTTTCTTGCATATATAACTTTGTTGAAACAAAATTTATAATATAAATCAGCATAAATTGACCGAATTATGATTGGCAGATAATTTTTACGGTCTAAGGTGCGAAGGGCAACTAGATCAAGATGAACTGAACAGAATAAAAAACGACAAACGATATTCTTCTAAATATCTTTAGCACTAATAGGTAAAGGAGAAACAAGCAATATAGGCGAACATAGATAGCCTATTAAAATCTGTATTTAAAATCTGATGCTTCTTAATCAATCAGAAAGATCAATGATTCTTGAGAAACAAGCTAGCCAAACATCAGACACCTATAAGAAGTGGAGGGTAGAACCAGATGGGACTGTGTAAGAAGTATCAGCTTCAATACCACACTGGGAGCGAAGTCATCGAAGAAAGCTTGATAAAATGGATTGTTGAACAAGTTTCTCGACCAAAGCTTTGTCCTAAAAATTGTAGCCAAGTATTTCGCTTTTCAATCACTAGGGGAGATCAACGCAGACTTAGCAGACTCTTTTAAGCAGTTATTTCACAACTTCAGGATTGCATTTAACATATTTCTTCACTACGTTACACTCGTGACTGGATAATAATCTTATCTCCTAACATTTCATTTTTACTTTTCAAAAATGTCCAACATGGATCCATTTGATCCCGCGACCAAACGAAAGTCTTTCTTTGTACCGTGCAGTTTTTCACCTGAAGTGTGTTCTTCAAAGAAATTGATAAAGTAATCTATCAGTCTAAAAGGGCCATGAGAAAAAAGGAAAAAAAAGACAAAATTTGCGGAATATTTTTAATATTATATTTTAATTACAAATTATTTTTGTAATGATTATATTAGATATTAGATCTATATAGAAGTACTTCAAAAGTATTTTTTAATATAACATATACAAGCATTCTGACTGCATTGAATAATTAAACCATGAAACGTTTTTTTTTTTTTATATTGTTTTATTTGGTATATGTAATATACATACGCAAAACATTTGGTACATATAACTTATTTAACATAGTGTATAAGACACGATGTTAAATCAAATATATTATAATATAGATCTATAAATATATATTTCACCATAACCTTTTTTAAATATTCTTGATTTATTTTTGTTTTTTCCAATTCATTTAAAAACAGCCAGTAAACTAGTTATTTTATAGAATCAATTATAAAAATAACTATAAATAAATGATTACGAAAATACAAGAAATGGAGGATGAACTAAAATGGCTGAAAATGTTCAGATGATCAAAGGAAGTATTGCGCAGCCGTCAAATTTGTCGGCTTTTGACAATATATGGTTGATTCTTTGCTTCAGGCGGCAAAAGTGGGATATTCTTTTGTTTCATCATTGCCGAAAGATTTTGGTTGTCCTTGTTATTACACTATACACTATGCTCGTTCAAATATTATTGTTGCAAAGTTACCTATTAAATTACACATTTGATTTATTGTGTTTGTTGTTTTTAACTAAGAAACTATTCGTGGCATTAGGATCAGTTAGTTGATATATTTCTGTAATTATATTTTAATATAACAATTAAAGAATTTAAAACTGATTAAACTAATTTAATTTAATTATTATTTTAATATAATTTTGCTAACATCTAATATTTAACTACGATATTCGAGCTTATTATCACTCAATTATTCCATTAAATTAATTAATGCATTCTAAAATTAATCAGATAGATGACACTATAATTCTACATATAAGTCTAAATTTTCTTAAACTAAACAAGGTCATCAATATAAACTTATATAATTATATACATGTGATCGATGAAAGAAGCATTTTTATAAACCCTTATGTCAACAGTACTATTTTGTTTTGTTTATATTTAAAGATATTCTGATCGATATTGATATAGAACAGATTGCCTAAATAGATCAAAGAAAATCCATGATCTAAAAATTGGTTAGTTACTTTTTATCGTAACCTATTATCAGCTATAGACAACTTATCGCACTGGTTTTGCCTTATAGACCAATATGACCGGTTTGACAGTCAAATCTAAAGGGCTTTGAAATAGAAACATCTTAAATAAACAAGGGTATATCCTTTCAAAACAAGCATGAATTGAAAGGATTAGCACAAGCAGGACAAAGCAAGTTGTCATTGAATTTATGATAATGAACGTACACATCCTATTTGAATGTTAATCAGCATCACCCTTGCTGTCATCCATATGACCATAACAATAAATGTTACCTGACGTGGTTCGCAACAGACTGATAGTATGTAAACATTTAATTCTTTGTTATAATTACATGTTACCGTCAATGTTTACAACTTGTTTGGACTGATACATAATCCTGAAGGTTAGTATAGTAAACATATCAAGACTTAAGCCTACTTATGAATATGATGATGTTTATATTCTACGGTCTATCTACTAACATGCAACGCCAAATGCAGCTTATAGCGAAAAACTAACAAATGGTAAAACATGATAGATAAATTTTATTTTATGGCTCTACATGCAATATAATAGGGTAAAATACCTGATAAAATGTTCCGACATCAAATCCATGTGAAGCGAACGACAACGGCACTGATGGCGAAGAAAGAGGCGGTTCACGACTGAGCAGCGGTCCGCCCCCCTCCACCCCCGCGAAGGGCCAATCAGATTCGTCCTCCCCCCCACCTCGCCCCCCTCCCCACGCCCATTGTTGCCTAATGAAGCCGCTGCTTCCTTCAAGTCCCCCCTCCCACCGCTCCCCGTTGTCTCAGATATCGCACAAACTTCATTACCTCCACCCTTCTCCTCCACTTCCTTTCTCTTTTACCAGTTTCTAATTATGATAAAAGTCTTCCACACCTTTCGTATCGCGGTCCCTTTCGACTACCCCTCAGGCATTGTCCTCAGTCTGTCATTTTGTCCATTATCGAATGAAGAAGAATGAAACGAGTGAAACTGTCTTCATGAAAAGAAGCGCTATCAATAGCATTCTTTAATAATGCCTCATGTGATCACTATGCTGGAGTTAACAAACTGTTTTTTTTTTTAAATTATTATTTACTTGTCAAATATTTAAAGGATAGTTAAGGCAGGAAGAATCTTAAGCGTGAGCGATTCGGTGATATTTATACTGACAGCTGTTGATATAAATGAACTTGAATATAAAAAAGAAAAAACATAAATAATATATCTGAAAGAAGTCTGCTCGACAAAAATATACTTAGCTGTTAGGTTAAACAAATAAAAAAGGAAATAATAACTTGATTTAATCAAATGGGAATGGGATAACCGAGTGGGAGTTACTGTCTAGCGTGGTTTGGTGGCTGACTAAGGCTATTAAGTTATTTATTGTCTTATTAATTTCAGCCTTGGCAGAAGAAATTTGCAAAAGAAATATGGTGACGAGCGACTATAATAATCATAAAAATCATTTCTAAAGAATAAAAGTCCCTAAAAAAGCCGTTTTAAAACAAATGACAGAAATAAGGTTATATAATAAGAGATGCATACTTTTGAGAAATGGGCTGAAAAAGAAGAAGAGAAAATAATTTATGAGATATGGTCTGTTTTTATGGAAAACCTTAAAAATATACCAGACGTCTCCGAGGTCCACTTTATTATGTATTAAGTGAATAACTGATCCTTAGGATCTGGCAGAGAAACCAATGGCATCGAGGAAAAGTATTCTGGAGTCAAATACCACAACAAACAAAATCATTACTAATCTTGCATAGATTATATAGGAAAATGTCGGTTTTCTATGTAATCCATGCAACAAAAATATTATTTAACAATGTTTTGTTGAAAAAATTTAGAAGGTAAAAATCAAACATTATCAAGCCTTTGAGGCACCAGAGTATCAGCCCCGGCTGCCCTCTCCCCCCCCTCCTCATATCGTCGGGCCTGTTGATTCTCCAATGGTTCGGACGGAAAGACCGGGTGGTTATGTGACGTACTAGATCACCTAGCATAATCGTTGATCATGCTACGAGGTGACATGGTGTTAAATCAGAAAAAGGAACTTACAAGGGGAGGTTACGGACGTGGGATCCAGAGAATATACAGAGTTTAGTTTATGTAATCATACTTTAGATACCGTCTGGCTTAGTAAAAAAAAAATATATTTTTCATTGGCCTTCAGTATTAGTGCAATAAAGAAACAATTTGTAATAACCGAAGCAAAGTGGATTCTAAGATTTATAGAGATAAGTATTTCACACCACGAAAAACCCTTAGGTACGATTTTTTATAAAAATCAAAAAAGGATTATTTTTTCCTGTAAATAATTTAGATTCCGATAGCTTTAACGTGACTCCACTGTTTCACACGAAAATGAGCCAAGATTTAGGGTCATATAAACTACACAAAATGACATAAACCAGACCCCTCCTAAATAAATTAGAACTGAAAATATAAAATAAAAACGTTTAAGAACCTTTTATTTATTTATTCCTTAGAAAGGCGCAAAATCAAAAGGTATCGATATGGTTTTTGAGAGCAATAATACAGATTTTTTGGATTCTACAACAATTACAGAACGTTGATTAAGGAAAAAAATTCTGAATGCTTTAGTAAAAACAGTATTTCATAAAATCAAGTCCACAAATTCATATATTTTAATTCATATTAAAACTTTTTAAATGTTTGGAAGAATTTTAGGACTCTAGGAACGAAACTAAATCGTTTTTTCATCACAAAAAGTTACTTAGACTACATTAAAGGAAGCTCTTCATGGTTTTGGTTATTGCTTATATAATTCACTACGGTTTGGAGGATCCATGTCTTAAGACCACTTTTATTTAAGCACTGGAGAAGTCCAACTTTCGTTTTCGTAAAACTGCTTTGGTTCAACAATTGCATATCGATACAACATGTGGACGGGATAGCCGAACGGGCTAACGCGTATGCACAGCACCGCCGTTGCCCGGCAACCTGACATTAAGACAAATTGATAAAAAATAGTCATTAGTTCGCGTCCCGTTGCGGGGAGACTCTTTTAAATTCCTGCCGTTACCCCCTGGCTCTGGAAAACCCCGTATAGCCTTAAAGGCAAGGAAGGGGAGGACCCAAAAAAAAAAGAAAAAAAATCTATACAACGAGCTAATGCACTCACTACCATACGGTACTTAACCAGGACCGGACCCAAGTTAAGACAAAGTTTAGCGAGGTAACTAAATCTGAGAGCTGCTTCTCTTATCATAATTACGTAGGATATCTAGTGGCAGAAATACTGTAATTCGTTAGTTAGTTTGTCTTTTCATTTCAGCATAGACCGATGAGGAGATCCACTCGTAATCTATCTCCGTGTCTGCTTTTGTGAGAGTTGCGACCATCCGTTGTGACTTCTTCTCTTCTTCATCAATATAGTTGTCACTAAATGCTTGTGTCCTAAGAACCAAATGGCCACCCGGGGGTCGGAAAGCGCAATGTGGGATTGACCAGTGTCGGTGTAATATGTAGTTACTTTGAACACCAGAACTGAATGGTCATCTAGTTCAATGTTGATAATTTTTTGGCGAACCAAAATCTTCATTAAGGAGCAACTGGTATTTCAGGATCACCACGAGTTGAATTGTGCGTAGTGGGAGAGATAGTCATTGCAGCCAGAAAACAATTTTATGAACATAATTGGATCTTCCTGATTGGATTATGAGTGCTGAGACAATCTGTGGTCCACTGTCTCACTCAAAGTCGGAAGCATCTTTCTTCCATAATGCAGTCATACGGTTCGACTTCTGATTTTGCTTTCATCACTGCTACGGGGCCAATACAATTTCTTGAATTCCTTTTCTGTTACCATCATATGTAAGAGAAATAATGATGCTTCTTGTCGTCTTCTTTATATTTTGTCTTGTTTTAAATCAATGATCATGTAGGACCCACCAATAACTTTCTGTTTATTTAATTGGGTTACCCCAAAAAAGTATCACACGTAAGCCATACATTTAACGTTTTCTTCATAGATTTATTTGATTATTCTCTTAAGGCCTTTTTAAAAATATTTCAACATTTCTAAAATTTTGAAATAATGAGATGTAGCACTAAGAGGGTCCATTGCTGTCCGTAGTCAATGCTGCTAATTATCCGCATTCTTTCCTCTACTATGGACACCTTCCACACACTGATGATTAACTGCAGACCGGCTATTTAGGGTATGGAGTGTAAATAACAGTTTAAAGTTGACCCATCACTATTATGAATGTAGTTTAATAATCTAAAAAATAATTTAATTAAAAATTGCTTGGGTAATAAAAAATCCAATCTTATTAATTTGTGGAAATCGCAGACTATTGTTTAAAGTGCACAATCGTTTATGAAAGTTTACTTATATTGATCAAAGTCATCAATATTTTAACTTAAATTGAATCCAACAACTGTTCGGTTTCACTGAATAGCTATAAATAGAAATAATATTTAAAATTCCAAGATAAAATATATGTTTATACAAATAAAATAACAACGAACTGCTGATTATCACAAAAAAGTGTTATCAGTTTGTATATATTTAGAGAAGTTTATTTTGTAATCAATAGACTGATAAGTATTTTGTTTAGGACAAATGATATGAATAATAGTTAAAATAATCATAAGAAGGAAAATCTTATTTAATACCAATGTTAAGTTCTGTTATTTATTTAATTTATTAACTGCAACGAATGTAATATGATATATTATATTATAATCATATGCTAAGCAAAATTGTTAGGCGTTGAAGGATATTAACACATGAAAACATATTGGCATAAGGATTCATAATTAATTTTTTTAACCATTTTATGTGTATAAATAAGAAATTTATTAAAACTATGTGTTAAAATTATTTCATACTAAGAGGTATTTACTGGATTATGTATGTGCGTTACAAATTAATTTTATTAAAATATACTGAAATGAAAACATTTTTAAGGTAGACGCTCAATCATTCAAAACCTGTTATAAACATGGGCAAATTAATCAATGAGCAATTTTTTATCTAAAATGTCCTTCAGACATTCTCATTGTTTTGTAGATAAAGTAATAAAAATAAAGATTTTCTTTCTAAGAATTTCTACTTTATTTGTGATATTTAATTGTTGAATTTTTTCTCGTTAAATGTTAATCGTATTATAATTAAATATTGTCAACACAACTGCGACTCCTATTATCCTTTACATGGTGGATTATATCTAATTCTTATTTTCAAAACATGACCCACATGTTTGGGTTGAAACGTTGGCAAAAATAAAAAACATAATTTTTTTTTAAAAGACTGCGTCCTGAATATTTATCACCCATGATTTATCACCCATATATATATATATATATATATATATATATATATATATATATATATATATATATATATATATATATATATATATATATAATTCAATACTATTTGTGTTTCATTTATAAGAGAGAAATACTTTATTGAAAGTAATGCTGCCCTACTAGATAGAGTTGCTTTTACACAGCATTCCGATCAATCCACATAGACATTATATTATTATTATTACATTATATTATATTATTATTTCCATTCTTTATTCTCGCTTTGCGGAGAAAGTTTCTGAGGTGGGAGACCAGAAGTCCAGCCACTTCTATATATTTATTAATTATTATTATATTATTAT